TGTTTCTTTTCTCTTCGTTATTTTTCTCCACTCGCTCAGATAGATTTTTTCGTTCTTTCTTTTTTCTCCACAGCAATATGTGCGTCATTATGAACGATCCGAACAAACCAAAGATGGCAAAGAAATGTAGAGTGCTCTCCGTATTTTGAACTTTTCTATTTGAAAGAAAGAAGATAAAGAGAAACAAAAAAATATACGAACTCAAAACAATGCCCAGCACCTGAAAAAAAAGTTTCAGCTCGATGGAACGTACTGTGATGGAGAAACGGGGGCGAAAAGGAGGGTAATTTTTAGGCTTTGTGATCCCAAAACCTCATTGAAGACAGCATCTGAGAATTTTGAGTCTATAACAACTTTTGCTGTGCTCCTCAAGATCTATCTGCCCTAAAAGTTTCAAATGTTTCAGATAAGCCGTTCTCCAAAAACGCCGGAAAGGGGGTGCCCTTAATATTGCTGATCTGTCTCTGGACCTGGGGGCTATTGTTTTCTTACAAAGTAACAGGAGGGCTTTTATATTGCAACATTACTTCATTCAAGTTTCTAATTGCATTCTCTAGTGCGTTCGTCGAGGACTTTAGGCTGTTTTTTTTAATAACGAAAAACATAAGGAGAACGAAAGAAAAAGTAGAGTATGTCATTTGTTTGCCTTCAACTTTGCTTCACACACTGCTCTCGCTCCCCTTACAGAAAAGCAACAGGTAAGTAAACACGTGCCTACGTGCGTATTGATGAAGATTCGTGCCATAATTCAGATCAAAGCAGGCACCTAAAACTAGAAAAGTGACATTTTTATCCGACCAAACGGATACACATTTTTCCTACTTCTCAGAACTTGCTAACGGTAACATAATCAAATTTGCCCTTACTTTCATCGAACTTTGTGGAAGGACAAGACAAACGATGTTCCCATGGGAACGTCTCTAACTGAGATGGCGCTTAAAACTTTTATAAAGGATGAGGACGATGAAGATTTCTCGGTTCAAACAGTTTTTCTTACATAAATTTTAAAATTAACCGAGTTCAATTTCAGTTTATTTTCAACGGGTTTTTTATCTCCTTTTTAAACACATTACAAACCAGTGCATTTTTATATACCGAAGGAGTATTTCTGGAATCGGCTAAGAAAAGGTAGCGATACATCTTTCAGTTCAGATCGTTTCATGTAGATTATACATTGAAACTGTACTGTACAACGCAGTCCAGTGTTTGAGCACCAATCGCAACTTTTGAAAATATTTTACGTTCGGCTCCCGTTGCCATAGTACTAAAACTTTGGCTGAATACATCATACAGACTTCCGTGTATGCGTCCAGTGTTAATCAAGAGAATCGTTTTTCCAGTTTCCATGCATACATAATTTGACTGTTGATAATATTTCAGCATTGCGCAGTTCGTTATCAACATCGGCTTCAAAATCTGACATAGGAAATATTTTAGTGTCGTCCGAATTCGAGTTGAGTATACCCACCTCGAATAATAGACGCGACGCTGATTCATCTTCGCTTTCGTCAATAATCAATTTGGATCGTTCGTACAATCGGCGTCTGGATGATTCTAATTTCATCCAATCATGCAGAACAGCGATTGAATTCCAATATTCAGTATCTTTGGCATAGGTAGAATAACTTTACATTCATCACTGATGCAGTTAAAAAGAATATTTACCAAAAATCTGAATTCTGACTCGGATATCCCGTTGAAATTGTTTTCCAGAGCTCGTAGTAAACTGGTTGGTGTGAACAGACTAAACAGAACATTTGCGCCTATTGGCATTAGCTGCATCGAATAATTTGTTCGAAACGGCTACAAATACAACTTTACATTCATCTAAGTATGGATGCAGCACTTTAAGAACCATTTTCTTCTCATCTGGAAGACTGGTTTCACCGAGGAATACGACACATCGTGTGTTAATTTGATTTTGTTCGTAATGTCGTTCACGTTTTATAGCACGCTCAAAGACTGCTACAATATCTTCAGGACGGCTGTATTTTGACCCAAGATAGAAGAACGCATCGCCTGCAGGTAATTTTTGACAAAATTGCTTTAATGAAAGTTGTGACCCCTGGAGATTTTGCAAAACAATTTGAAAACTGAGTGTTTTGGACTGTCCCGGTGCTCCAATGGTGCACAAAGGAATCTTTGTTGCGACGCTTACTACAATTACAAAAACATGCACAATCACAGCTTGATTTAATGCAACACCGGGTGGAAAAAGAAAATTTTCAGTTGTGATGTAGGCCATCATTTCGCTCTGAACAGCTGAACCAGAATTTGGTAGGATGCGTGACATATCTCTTGAAAACTCTTCTCGAGTTGGTTCTGCTAAATTTTGTTGTTGGCGGTCTTCTTCAGTGGGCAAACGAAGATAATACACTAGTGCAACAGATAAAATGATGCTTCGAATCAGTCGTTGTCGCATATCACTTATATAAAAGGCAGTTGCCCAGAAGAAGTTGATGATATGAAAACAGTTTTCTATCTCTCGTCCACTGAGGGAATTTACACTTATTTGTATAGAACAAAAATTGTGTGCAAGCAGAATAGCGTTGTATAGAGTTTTCCGCAAATGTTCGTTGAGATCTGGATTCTGGGCAAGTTCGGTGTTAAAAAACGATATTTTTCGTTGTACGTATATGGCTGATTGATGCGACGGAAGTGCTAATGCAGCTGTTCTAATGCAGTTGGTAATTATTAACTAAGTAATCAGATCGATGAATAATAGCTTTGTTTTCCATTGTTGTTACTGTTTGGTCTTTATTGTATGGATTAATAGCCGCAGTGAAGAAAATATTTTCCGGTAATACATCTCCTTGTAGTGAGCAATCCATTAACATTTCTTTAAACGAACCAAGCATGATGATGTATTAACTTCGCCAAAAAATACGACTGATTCGGCAGAGGGCAACTGTTTTGCAAGTGTTACTGTCGGATGCATCAATTGTTTTAATTGTATCTCGGTAATGCCAGGATGAAGCAGACTATAAAATAATGGTTTTACGTTAGTATGTGAAATGAATTCATAGAAAACCTGCACACTTTTTTTGGTCCTGGGGTCTGAATATGAATCTTCCAGCAACTTATATAATTCTGGACTACGTTGTAAAAGAGGAGTAGCAGATAATCGACTATTAATATGTTTACATAATTCGTCCATTAATTTTGTCAATAAATGTGAAGCAACATCCTCGTCGTCGCTGTTCAGTGGTAGTATATTAAATTCGTATACTTCTGTCATGCAAGGTATGGATGTCCACAACTGCTGCATTACCATTGCTGGATATGTGCACAGTTGCAGAGATTTCACGACTTGTCCCATCTTTTCTTTGATCTCTGTTTCGCTAACGATTTCTTGATTAAGGCTAATTTATTCAATATACTATTATATGAAATATTAAATTTTTTATCAGATGATCAACAAAGAAAGAAATATTTATTTTATAAGCAAATATTATGTGCAATATTATTTAGTTGCATAAGAATATCATCA